TTGTTATTGAGTACTGTTTTTTTATTTGGATTTGAAAGACATTTTTGTTGTGCCGTCATTTAGACGGAATTTGGTTTCAGTTTCTTATTTGGACAAATTAGGTTATTTGTGTTCATTTGGAAACAATAAGTTCAGTTTGTCTTTTAAATCAGATATTGTTGGAACTGGTTCACTTTTGATTTATAATAATCAGTATTTACTTGATATTGTGGCCACCTATAATAAAACCCTTAATACAGAATCACGTGGTACTAAACGTAAAATTGAAAATACTCATTCAGGTGTATTATGGCACAAGTGCTCAGGTCACAATCAAATCGTGACTTTTGGGCTTGTGTTACACTCTTAAAGATATGGTAGAGAGTATGATTTGTCATTCCACCTTACTAGAATCACTTTGGGGAGAGACACTAAATACGACAACTTATATTCTAAATAGAGTACCAATTAAAGCAGCTACCAAAACACCTTATGAGCTTTGGATTGGGCGACAACTTAGTCTGAAGCATTTCCATGTGTGGGATTGTCCAGCTGAGGCAAGACCTTATAAGCCAAATGAAAAGAAATTAGACTCCCGAACAGTAAGTAGTTATTTTATTGGTTATGCTGAAAGATCCAGGGAATATAAATTTTATGATCCAACATTAAAGACAATTTTTGAGACGGGAACTGCTACATTCTTTGAGGATATTGAGTTTGGGGGGAAGAATAAGATTAAGAACTTCATCTTGGAGGAAGAATCGGTAACAATTTCAGAACCGATTCAAATAGTTACTTTTGATAAAGTAAGTTCGGAACCTCCACAAGGCATTATTGATGAACCCCTTACTCAAGATGATTTGGTTGTTCATGAAGAACAAACTCAAGATCCTCAAGAACCTGTGCATCACGAGCTAATAACTTTGTAGAGATCCACTAGAGAAAGAAGAAGTGCTATTTCGGATGATTACATGGTATTTCTTCAAGAACATGAGGAAAATAATGATATAATGGAAGATGACCCAGTTAACTTCCGTCAAGCTATACAAGGTTTAACTCTCAAAAGTGGATTGAAGCAATAGGATAAGTATAAATCCATGCAAGACAATAAGGTTTGGGAACTTGTCCCATTACTAGAAGGTATGAAACTCATTTGGCTTCAAGATGAATATTGTTGATGATTGTGTGTATCACAAGTTTAAAGGGAGACAAGTTTAGTCTCAATCAGTGCCCAAAGGGGAATTTGGAAATTGAGGAAATGCAAAAGATTCCCTATGCATCAGTTGTAGGGAGTTTGATCTATGCCCAAGTATGTACGCATCCAGACATAGCATATATAGTTGGGGTTCTAGGCAGATATTTAAGCAATCCAGGAATAGACCATTGAAAAGCAGCAAAAAAGAGTCATAAGATATTTAAAGTGAACAAAAGATTATATGCTCACATACAGAAGGTCAGACCAGTTGGAGATCGCTGAGTTTTCTGACTTAGATTTTGCAGGATGTCAAGAATTTGTAGCATGCTATGAGGCATCAAATCATGGAATATGGCTGAGAAATTTTGTCATAGGGCTGCAAATTGTGAAAGGCATTGAAAGACCACTTAAGATATATTCTGACAATAAATCAGCTGTATTGTTAAGGAAAGAGTACAAAGTGGACAGATTTCCATAGAACACTTAAGGACAAACTCCATGATAGCATATCCTCTAACTAAAGGACTTCCGCCCAAGGTCTTTCATGAGCATGTTGCTCACATGAGTGTTTTACAGTTTGAGGAATTTGTGGTTTAGTGGGAGTTAGTCACTTTCATATATTTTATGTTCTATGTTTAATTTCATATATGTATACATTGATTTTTGGACATATTTGGTTATTTATAGATATGCAGTTTTTTCGTTCATTCATTACACTTTGTATATTAAGGATACTATATCGATCTCGATAAGTTAAAGTTTGGACCAGTTGAAAATATACGTGTACAGATCACCTTCACGTAATTTTTCATGCTACACATTTCATGATGAATCCATGTCATTTGGTTATGTTAGGATGAGTAATCATTGTTGGTTTTAGTTGCGATGATGCAATGAAAAGCTGGTTTTGTTCTATATTCTGATATGATTAATGGACAGGACTTTTGGAGTATGCTAAAGGAATATAATGGCAATTTTGAGCTCATAAAGTCTAACACATTTGTAAGGTTGTAAGGACATATATATTTGTGACCAGTGGGAGATTGTTGGCAAAATTTGGGTCATGTATATATATGATACATAATTTAAATGTGTTAGGGTCATTATTTATTAAGCCAAATAATAAAGTGATCTGACTAAATTAAAGTTTTGGCTAAAGGCATATGTCATGAAAATAAAATTGTGTAGAGACCATTGAGCAATTTCTAATTTGATGAGGGGCCAAATTAGAAATACTAAAACTTAAGTAATTAACCTAATTCTGTTTATTTTAAGGGGTCGTGGTACCCTTCTGGGAGCACACACAGAACGTAAGTATCAGTCCTGTTCCTTTCTTTCTATCCCCATCAAGAGAGAAAATCAATAGGGAAATACAGGTGCTCTTCAGGTGGAAGACCATAAAATCAATATAGTGCTCTACAAAGACATCATCATTATGGCTAATTCAGGTACGCTTTTGCATTTAGTTTACAACATATTTATCAAGTATGAAATTACGTTTATGTTTGATCGTTATAATCAAAATCAGGATTATTATTATTATTATTATAATTATTATTAATTTTCCAATAATTTTGCTCAATCATTATGATAAAAATATTAGTATGGTAAAAATCAAATTTAAGAGTCAACAAGTATAAAAGTTTAATTTGACGGAGAATGAACCTTTGATCAATTAAGTTAAAAAGGTTATAAATAAAATAATTTAACTATTCAATTTTTATTTTATAAAATCTACTATCTCTATAAAACTATAAAAAAATCCACCTTCTCTCTAAGATTTTAAACCCTCATCCATTTTTTTTAAATCTAATATAGTCTATAAAAATTTAAATAGAGTAAGTTCTTTTTTTCTTTGTCTTTTTTTTCCCTCCTTGCATACATGACCTAGGATTGATGCATGTGACTTTTGTTGAAAAAAAAAAAAAATCTTTGTTAGTCTAGGTTCATAGTAGTAAGTTTAATCTGATGATTGTGATTTTTGTGATTAGGTTTAAACATTTTTAGGTTCTTTTTTAAGCTTTTACCTAGTTTATCTATTTCCAGGTAAGAGAATCTAATTCTTTGTTAATTACGTAGTACTTTAAACCAAAGAACTAGGTTTTAATAAATCTCTCTTTATTTTTTATTAAATTAATCAAATTACATTATTTTTAAAAACACGTTATCTTTATTTTTCACTTATTTATACTCTACCAAATAATTACATATTCAAATTTATTTTATTTTTTACTTTTTTTACCCTCTATAAATCTTTCATGAGTTTTGAGAGGAATGAATAATTATTTTCTTTCATCAATCAATGTAATTCTTATTAAAATTACTTGTGAAAAGTTTTGTTTAGCAAATAATGCTATATTCTGTACGTCAAATTAAATCCAAATCCTGACCAGACTTTTCAAACTAAAATCTAATACTTATAAAATATAAAAAATCCAAAAAATAATTTTACGAACAAAAGGCCCAGGTATTAAATACTATGATTTTACAAAAGAAAAAGAAAAGTGACGATAAATTTGGAAGAGGAATCCAAAATTATTATATAAATAAATGATATTAACTTCACAATAATTTATATATTTTATGTGTATAAATTATATATATCATCAATTAATTTCTATTCTGATGTAATATTTATCCCAAACTATTTCATATATATTTAGCAGTGGAATGAAAATAAAAATCAAGTTTAAATTTTAATTGAAGAAAAAAAGGTTTAAATTATTTTTTCTCAGTTTTTATTTTAGTTTAATAAAATATAAAAAAAATCATTACTATTTTTTTTCTTAATTCTTTTCCCTCTTCTGACAAACAGTTATTAATAAGAAAACGCGTTTTGGAATTGTTGTAGAATTTCTCTCCCGCCGCTAATATAGAATTTGACATAAACCAACAAAACAAAAACAAAGTAAAGAAGGTTCATATTTAAGGATACTTTTGATAGAGAAAAAAATAAAGGATGAAAAAACTGTAAAAAAGAAAAAAAAGTTAAAAAAAATTATTCTATTTATTTATTGTTATTATAAAAAAAATTATAATATCTTATAATCAATCATAGGTATACAAAATCGATTTATATTTTACATTTTAAGTAAATAATGAATTACGTTATATAATATAATATAATACAATATATATTTTGTATTAATGTCATAAGAATTAACTTAAAAACGAATCTGAATTAATAAGTAAAATTTGATTAAAAAATATTTTTACGCATATCTTCAATGTATATAGTAAATAAAGTCATAAATCTAATTTTTTTTTTCAAATTTTTTACCCCTTAAACAATCAAATGTTGACTTTCTCCCTCGTAGCCGCGGTGAAAAAGAAAGACATGTTTGAATCTTTGACATTATTAACCCAACGTTAACTTTGGAAGCCAAAAAAGGGTCATTTTTTTCATAAGATTTATCCTTTCACTCCGTCTTTTTTTATTTCAATAATATTTGGCTAATTAGTTAAGCTAAAGCCACTAATAACAATGATTAATTAACAAGCACGAGGCGAAATTAAAAGGAGACAAATATTATTTTTTATTTTTTATTTTATTGTGATTGTTTTTAAACGAGGTGAAGAAGAAGAAAAGTGAAAAAAAAAAAAGAGAGAGAGAGAGAGAGAAGTGATAGAAAAAGAAAGGAAAAGCGCGTGGGTCCCAGTTGAAGGGTAGGGTCCGCAAACGATGACGAAAATGGTTTGATCGTGGACTTTTGGGGCGCACGGTCGTAGAAACAAGGGCGTTGGGTGGACCCCACCGTCCCAGATAACATCTCGCGAGCTTCGAGAAGACCTTGCACGCGAATCGCTAACGGGACGACACGTGGACATGGGACGCGCTTGGACGCCACGGAGAGCGACGCGCGCGTGGCGGTGGTGGGGTTCAGGGATTAGGTTTGTCTTAGAGAGAAAAAAAAAGTGGTGGGACCCGCTGTCGGAAAGAGCGTACCCGATGCTGAAAAACTGCTCTGACATGATTCGCACAGGTTTCCCGCCAAAAACACATCATGCCTCTTAATTTGCTCTCTTATATGTTCATGCTTAATTGAAAATATAATTTTGTTGATAAATAATTAAAAAAAAAAATCATTACAACTATGCAATACTTTATTTCTTTGATAATATAAAGCACAGATTGATATATAGTTCAAGAAATCTAGAATACGCGTTAACATATAAAAGAATATTCATTTTAGAAATTTTCAAAATGTAGATGAAATGTCAATGTTAATTATGATAATTAATATGATATGGTTTTGTTAATGCATGTTGGCTTAATTACATTAAAAGTAGAAGATAAGATAAGATACGATTTAACCTATGTAACCTAGTCTTAGACCAATTAATTATTATTATTATTATTTTAAAATTTAAAAATGGATAGGTTTTGTGGATTGGGTGAGCTATGAAAAAAACTAGTGATTGAATTTAGGGTTTTCCAAATTTCTGAAAGTGGGTTAGCAGAAGAAACAGAGGTACCTTATTCTTAGTTAGGGGTGAATTTTACATGTGGGAGCTAAATTTGAACACGAGGGAGGGGTCATAGTCCTATCCGTAAGCAACAATAGTACCTTGTATTAAGGGTCTCCCCAACAACACACAAATTCACATAGGACTTCAAATACCTAATCACCCATCACTTTTTTTTACTTGATTTTGGTTTCAAACAAAATTAGGTTAGGAGTTGACTTTGTATTTATTTACATTAAAATATATGGAATTAAATTAAATATTACTTATACCTTATTTAGCTCTCTCTTTTTATATAAAAATTCATTTTTAAAATATGATAGTTGAAAATAATAAATATATAATCTTCATTTTGTCTGGGAAATAAGAAAAAGCTAACTTTAAAAATGAGATCTAGTAGTTGAATTATGGTCATAATTCAAGAGGACAGACACGTTCTTAAGTACAGGGCATGTTTCTTTTACACGACAATGGTAGGTAGTGTGCCCTTTTGAGACATTAATCCTGTTTAGCACAAGTTAAAAAATTCAAAAATAAATTACTTTTTCTTTTGAAGCAAAAGTAAAACTTTTATGAGATGTTTATGAAAAATTTGTTTTACTATACTGTTGGTGATTTTATCATTTTTAAATTTCGATCGTTAATCTTAAATTGATCACCCTTAAAAATATAATTCAAGATTTAAAAATATTTAATTAAATTTAATAAAATTATATTTTTATACTATAATAAATTTATTAATAATATTCATAATAATAATAAAAATCAAAATAATATAAAATATTATATTTAAAAAAATATATATAAAATATAGTTAATTTTCAATTTTTTTAATTTTATATCAATTTAATTAAATTCATTTATTTAAAATAAAGAATCGATTAAATCAGTTGAATTGATACATCTATTTTTATTTTAAATAAATAATAATTATAATTGAATATATTTAAAAATATCTACATGAAATTGATAAAATATTTTTCTTAAACCATAAATGATTTATTTATTTTCTAAATTTTGAAAATAATATATTATATTATTTTAAGTTAAATTAACTTAGTTTATACTAAAACCTAAATTGACATTAATAACACAATATCAATTTAAAAAATATTGAAAATCTTCTCAATTAAAGTAGAAAGTTATTCTCTATATTTTTAAAAAAGACTATTGCATTATATATATATATATATATATATATATATATATTATTTATAATTATTAAAAAATTATCTCAGTTTCATTTAATTAAAAAATTGTTCTTTTATTAATTTTATGTTGCATTAACGAGTTAGTGTGACATTTTATCTTATTTTAAAAAATTGTAAAACAAAATTTTGAATAAAAATATATGTAATTTTAAATACAATAATTTAATATATAAATAAAAATATATTTTATTAAAATAATATTTATTTTCTAAAATATACATTTTATTTTAAAACTAAATATAATAAGTTATTATAAAATATATTTTAATAAAATAATATTATAAAATTAGGGGTATAATTTAAATCTATTTAAAAACGAATTAAATAGATGAAATAAAAATAATTTTAATCAATTTAGATTGTAAATTTTTATTTAAACAATACTTCTTTTTTATCGATCAGAACACCTATTTTGGTATATGATTATCCTTTCTTATATATGATATATGATAGCATGCTTTCGAAAATGAAGTGAAAATTTCAATGTTTTCTTAATGGGAAAATTACTTTTAGTTATATTACTATTCTTAATCTTTTTACTCAACATAAATATATAAGAAACAATGTTTGTTCTTTTTTTTACAGTGTTGACTCTGACAAAGTTTTTATATACAGAATAATATTTCCTCCAAAGGCTCAAATTAGAATTAGTGTCTGCAATTTATTTCTAATATTCAATTCATGAATTATTTTATATTAATTTTTTTAGAATAAAATAATTTAAATTTAAATTAGTGAAAAAACTGTATTAACAAAATAAGATAAATTTAATATTATCAATTGTATTGTTCACCTTTTCAATTTATAAATTTATTAACCGTGCCTTGTATAGAAATTGAAGGAGTATTTATTTATTTAAAAAAAAAAACTATTGGAAACCTGGTTTTCCTTTGAAGTTTTATTTGAATGTGATTCTAAATGAACACCCAGTGGTTATGTCATAAATATTTGTCTTTTTGGGAAAGATAGGGATGGCTGATGTAGACAAATTGAATTTAATTTATAACTAAGTGTTTTATTATACAATACACTTAAATATTTTTTATATTTTATTATTTATACATTTTTATTCCATTTAGTCTCATTATTAATAAAAATCAATTAAATATATACTTTTTTTGAAAATATAATAATATAATATCTTATTAATAATACAAGTTTTATGAAACTAATATTAATGATTTTAATTTATTCATAATATAATCTATAATAATTATATAGTCAGAATTTGTAAAATTAACTTTATTGAAAGAGTTATATTAATAATAAAATAAAATAACATAAATAATTAGTGTGGCTAATGTCATATTAAAGTAAAAGAAAAATATAATAACCAATTAAAACATTTGTCATAATATCTTTTAACCACAGTTTATTGTATTTATTATATAAGAAAATAATAGAGAGGAAAAGAAAAAAAAATGAAAAACCAAAATATTGTCTTGGTTGGATATTAGCTGTCAAGTATATTTATGACAATATACATTTAAAAATCTTACGTAAGAAATTATTGTATTATATTGATTTTAGCTTTATAAAATCACATTTCGACATTAACCACTTCCTCCTTCCTCTTCTTCTTTCTCCGCAACAAGTCACACACACCTCTCTTTTTTTTTTCTTTTTTTTTTTCTCTGCTCCACTTTCTCTTTCTCCATTGATGAGATTCCGCTAGTTTTTCTTTCTAGGACCAGTACGTCGCTTCATTTATTGCTCCATATATATGCCTATGCTCGTCACACTGCATGCTACTTTTGCCAAGCTTTTGAATTTTCTTACCAAAGTATTGTAAATTCTAATCACAGGCACCGCTTAAAGTCTCAAGCTTTGCAACTTTTGGAAGATACCCACCTAACCATTTTCGCTTGCCTAAGGAGAGGGTTTTGGGTTCAACCATTTCTGCTTTTACCTTCAAAAGGGTCATAGATGATAGCCAGCTCCTTCTGCAATGCTGATTCTATGTTTGCAGTAAGTTCTTATCCTAAATTTGGTACCATTTGCCCTTTTTGTCCTTCAAGTGCTATCTTGGGTTGTCACTTTTCATGGAGGTTATTAGTGGATGGCCTTTCTCATGGAAAATTTTGAGAATTTGTGTTAAAAATTGTTTGCTTTTTACTTGACATTCGAATCCTAATCAATCCTTGCACTCCAATTCCCAGAGAATTATGATCAGAATTGTTCTTATTCCAAGTACATATGTAATGAATGAGTGGTTGAGCCTATACTTTATTTGTATTTTTTGATTTTGTAAAACCCATGCCCAAAACCAACCCTGTGATTCTCTCTCTGGATTAATCATTGTCTTTTTCCGTAAATTAATTAATTACTCCTGTGTCCTTATGCATGTTGTCAATTAAGATATCCTTTAACATTAAACAAAGGTGGTTGGGAAGATTTTGTACGCAAGTTAGATTCGTTCATGCAAGGTGTATGTATAGTATGTATATGTGAATGCGTGTATGTGTGTGTGCATACATTTTTTTTTTTGTCACAATCAAATGGTGGGGCCCACATTTGAGGTTCTGGACAACATCACAAAGATAGAAATGGATTGTTAATTAAACATAAGTTTCCAAAAACAAAAGATAATTAATAATTAAACAATACTTTTTTGGCATGGTAAGTAAACTCACAATGTTGACTACACTATTATGGGATTAAGATGTTTGAACGATTAATAAAGTGTGATTAGTTGTAAACCAAACCATTGAATATGGTGGGTGATCAATGTTTGTGACAGTGATGACCCTTGGAAGGTTTGTATTGTAGCTTATGTAGTTTGAATATGCATGGATGGTTCATTTTCTGTTGGCAATTTTTTTCCTTGTAGTGTAGCATCATGGCTATGCATATGGGGCCCCGTTTTGATTTTCGGTTGTGGTGTAGCTGTTACCAGTTTGTATTCTGAACTTATCTAATATATTTAATAAAATGGTCCTTTTTTACGGTGTCAGCGTTTTTCTGACTAAAGAGTGCATGTTGTTATGAGTTCATGATGTATTATTTGATGTAAAAAATCAATCTTGTAATTAGTAGTATTATTTTTTGCAAGCAAAGTTTGGGGATACTGATACATGTTTATGCATTGGAATCACTTGTTCTCATTCTCTAATTACAAGTGACACGTCATTGGACAAAGTTTTTCTTTTTAAAGTAACATTCTCTATATGTCTGTCTGTTTTTTGTATGTTGGATGTTGTACTCAAGGCAGGACCGTAGGGCAAAAGCAAAAGCTACCATATGGGAGGAAAATTTTCCTCTTCAATGGAGATGTGTTTGAATTTTGACATGCTTTCATTAAATTAAGGCATTAATTTGACTTTTGTCCTTGTTTCCAGTGACAATTTTTTGTTTCATACTGTTCCAACTTTTTTTATGGAGTGACATGGTTTTAAATTGTGATTGCCTTCTTTGACAAAGTTTTGTTGTGATCTTTGACATTGTGAAAAAGTGAACATTATGTTGCAGTTGCAGACATGTGAGGGTGATGATGGAAGGTTTATTCAAAGAACTGTGTTTGCTCACCCAATAGATTTCCCCAACTTTTTTTATCTTCTTTGAAAGGATGACAATCATAATGAAATAGAGGCCAACAAAACAACAAAAATCAAAGCTGTAGACTCTAACTATGGAACCAGTGGGGCCAACCCATATGGACTCAAATTTGCATTCAATACTTCCTCAATCTGTGGCTTTTGGCATCCCCAAAAGTTCTGTTGTACATGTTTCAAGCATAAAAGTAATTGAAAAATATATGGTAGTAATAACTGTGTGTATTGAATGTGCACTATGGTTGTGTCTGATAACTATGATACTCTAGCGAGAGGAAGTTTTGATGAATTGATAGTTTCTTTATAATTTGTATTCCTCTTTTCATTTTGCTTATCATTCTTATACAAGATTTTTCTTTGTTGATGCTACCAGAGAGAAGAGGGGATAGATGTTAGAAAGATGATGGAACATAAAAGGAGTCCCTGCTCTGTTGACCAAAGCAGTTATACTTCTATTGCATCTAAAAGGCAAAAGGCTGATTTATCTATCAGCACCAAGGTTTCTTTTTTCTCCTTTTATTGTTGTTGGTTGCTGAATAACACTTCTATTTCCTTTTTCTTTCAGTATCTACTCATATTTTTATAGATATCCATGCTTTACTCTTATGATCTTCTCTATATAAACTTCTCTGGTTCGTTGTATGTAATCTATGAATTGCCACATTTTATATTTGTGTTACTTATCATGCATTGCGCAATTTCAAACCTTGAATTGGAGTGTCTGGCGTATGATTATTTTCAATTTGTTCAATGTAATTAATTATAAACTAAGTACAGGTTGAGATCAATGCATAGTTCAATGCTAAGCCTATTCATCTAAACTGTTTAAAATCATTAGACACAAGAAAAAGGAATCTAAACTACGTGCTCTAAATGTCCTTGATGTTTCATCCTCTTAAAGGCCAGCTAGTGTTCAATCATCCTGTTGCATGGAACTCTCCTTGATGCTCAATTTTGATATGTGATTTTCTTCATTGAAGGTCTACTTTTTCCTTTTTATTTCTTTGATTTTTCATGTAATATTTCCAACGTTTCTGTGAATAGGAGAGGAAGGAGAAGATTGGTGAACGAATTGTTGCTCTTCAGCAGCTAGTTTCACCATATGGAAAGGTATACAACAATTATAGTTCCTGAGACGATACAACTTATTAGTTTGATGCTTGTAATACTCATTCTTCAGTAAGAGTGGATTGTTTTGGATTCTATGAATTTCTCTGGAGTTTCTGTGAATCTTAAGAGTCTCTGCTTCTCACTGCAGACAGATACATCTTCTGTTCTAAAGGAGGCAATGGAATACATAGGATTCCTTCATAAACAAGTTAAGGTTTGGCCATTCTTGCTACATTATGATGAAATTATGACTGTTAATATTCTTGCAATTGGTTTTATATATACTTGGACCTAAAAAGACATTACAGATTCTAAATTATGCTTAACAAGACCTTGATCTTAATGCTATTTTTTTCTTCCGTTTTCAACAGCTGCTCAGTGCTCCATACCTTGAAAGTTCAGCAGCAGCCAAGATGCAGGTGAGCATAACACTCTCACTCTCACCATGAGTAGGAAACGGATGAGGTGAAACATTTTTTTGAGGGGGCGCTCAGTATCTAATTTATGAAACATTTATTATATACCAACAAGAACCCTTGTCTGTACCATTCTTATTGTTGATTCATATGCTATAAAATTGGCCACATCTCCCCCTGTTAAGTTCCACATACACTCCTCCCATTCCAAAATAACTATAATTAATCTTTTCTCACACAGATTGAGATTGAGAACAACAATAAATATCTCACTTGTTAAAACAATTTTACTAAAATAATCTCACCCTCTTAGTAAACTGTTACTTCTATTTACTGTTAAATTCAACATTGCTGTGTTTATTTGGGAGCAACTTAAGAGTAAAAATCATTATGGAACAAAGGGAATAATATGTTGCATGGTTCTCCTACAATTGATTAATGAATGCAATGTAATTGACTAGTGTTACTTTTGGAGTTTAGTTGGGTTATAATTGAACTTTTGTAACTTCAGGGTATGGAGACATGCAGCCTGAGGAGTAGAGGGTTATGCCTTGTTCCTGTGTCATTTACAATTGGAGTTGCTGAGAGCAATGGTGCAGATATCTGGGCTCCTATCAAAACTACTACTTCACCTAAATTGGAGAAGGATGTCTCGCAATTTCATTGACAAATTTTCTCACCTTTATTGCAGCCTAAAAGGTTGCTATGCTAAGTTGCTAAATCAGTGTAGTAGCATGAAAATTTATCATCATACATCTAGATGGATGGAATCATAATAGCTAAAATAGTTAAAGCATGAAAAAAACTAGTCATGAAGCTGTTCCACACCTTTAAGATTTTAACCGGGTGATGGGGCTAAGCTTCCAATTAGCCATGTGTTCTTAATTTATTGTGCTGATTATTAAGTGTATATTTCAAAATTTCTAGTTCTATGATGGTTCCATGTACTGATTAGCTTAATGAAAGTCCTTTCTTGATTTGATGAAAGTACATATGACATCGTATTTTTTTTCATCTGTGCTTCTCCACCTGCAGTTATCAATGCTGTTTAATGTTCACTGAAAGACAATAATTAGCTGTCTTGAACAGTTTACTCGAACATTGTCTGAAACGAGAAAGATTGCACTCTTAATAAGGTTTGAAAATTGAATTTAATAGGGAATAAGACATGATGAAATGATAGAGCACTAGGTACTATTACATTTATTAATTTAACCATTGAATCTTAGTAGTATACTGTTATCATCTTCACCGAATATTTTATAATCATAATTATTTTTTTTAAGGAGTGTATTATCAAAAAAGTTATTACATATGCGATATTTTAGATGATCAAAATATTACTTGATAGTGAATTTTTATTATTTTAAAATATACTATACTGGTATATAATTTTTAAATTATGAATTTTTAAAATCAATCCAACTTTCAACATAAACTACATTAAACTGAGATACTTCTCCATGTTAAGTTTAAAGATCGATTTTGATGAAAAAAAGGTAAGATTATGATTAGAGAGATTAAATTAAGTTATATATTAAAGTGTCCCACTTGTGCTTGATTGATGGGCATTTTTGAATTAATTAATGATGTTTTATGTACAGTTTTATGTTGATATTGGTTCCTTCTCTTATTGATAAAGTATTCAAATTGGAAGAAAGTCCTTTTTGAAAGTAAAATAGAAAAGATGAGAATGAAAATGATCTTCACTTTTGTTGAATTCAAGTGGGGTTGGTGTTGGTTTTGAAAGTGAGGCTAGCCTATTAAAATTGCAGTATTTAAAATAATCTTAAACAAAGATTTCGCCATCATGCCACTGTAAGCCTATCATGTAAAAATACGTTTTTTATTTATCCCTTTTAAATTCTTAAAATATTAAATATGTCTTTCCAATATATATATATATATATATATATATATATATATATATATATATATATATATATATATATATATATATAATCTTAACATATTTTCTATTCTTTGTTAATAATAATTATAAATAAAGCAACTAAGTATAAAAATAATAAGTTTTAGTGATATAAATATTCATTATTAAAAATTTTAATTTTATCATTATTAATATCTTTTAACAATAATTTAATTGTCACTAATATTCATGACATTATTATAATTATATTTTTAGATATTATTAAAATTATTCTTGATAATAACAAAATATTTAACATTAATAATAATATATAATAGTAATAATAATTAATTGTAAAATATATTATACAATAATGGTAAATATAGTTATCACTATTAATAATTTATAAAAATAAATAAATATTTTAATATCACACATATATAAAAGAATAATAATAAATTAGATGTTATTGATAATTTATGAAAATAATAATAATAATTATTATTATAATATCACAAATATAGAAATAGTGATAAAAAATTATTATAATTTATAAAAATAACTATTATTATTTTAATTTCACAAATATATACAACAATAATAATTAATTAATTATTATTGTTAATAATTTCAATATTAATTTTTTTCATAATTATTAATTAATTTTGAATATTAATATTTTTATTATTATAAAAAATATAAGTACATGTAATTGTTCCAATTTTTTTTATTACTTCCATGTGGTGATAAATAGATAAATTATTTTTAAAATATTAAAATGAATACACATTTAAATATAAATTGTCCATTATAAATGATAAAAGCTAAAACACAATAAATATCTTACAATATTCTAAATTCAAACATCATAAAGTTATTCCTTAAAAACTAAAAGATTATTTTTAAAATAAAAAATGTATAGTGTCTTCAAGGAGTTTGATGCTATAAAATAAAATAAAAAAAAAACCATTGATATTAATAAAAAAGTAAGCAATGACATTTTAGAAATATAAAGTAAAATTATTAGAGATATTTTACTGAAATAAAGAATACAAATAATTTACTTAGATGAAATACTTGATAATCATTTTCATGTTTCATCTCTTTTTAGTTTTCATAATAAGTCGTTAAAATTTAAGCAATTAAATTTTTAATATTAGTCAATTTTTCACTTAACTCTAAGTATTTACTTTTTTTTTGTAAATTTTCCATTTGATTTTGAATAAATTATTTCTTTATAATTTTTTTTCCATTGATAGAATGTCTATACTTGTAAATGATTTGGTTTTGTTCACAGTAAAAATTGAAAGTTTTAACTAATCAAATCCATGTTTTTTTGAAATTTTCTCTCAATACAAATGTTTAAGAAAAAATAATTTATATTATAAAAATGTCATAATATATGAACATTATAATACATCTTTTCCTTTTAAAACAAAAATATCATAATACATATTTTAGTCAACAAGAAATATTAAAAAACTAAAAATATACTATAAACAAAATTTCATCCAAGTTTTATAATTTAAATATAAAACAAAGACTTTTTTTAATTAAAAAATATACATTTACCAATAAATACAATGACCATACTTAATTAGAAGTTTTATTTACTACGGTGAACCCATTAATAATGAAAGAAAACTGAAGAAATTTTTTTGTAAAGATCAAGAAGTAGCGAAAATATGAAGAAATAAATCATAAAAAAAAAAAAAAACTCTTCCAAATAATTTGATTCAAAACACTAAAATTACTATCATTCCAATACTACAAACTAAAATTTTAAAATGCAAACAAGAAATTATTTTTCATTTATTTTAAAATAAAAGTGAAATTATTTTTTCATTTATCATAATTTATTTTTTTGTTTATGATACACCTTATTTCATTACATCTTATCCGTGTAACTTTTCATACTTCCCAAATACCTGACCATATGTCACTCTTTAATTTTTCCTTTTTATTAAAAATAAATAAAATAAGATGACACATGGTTAAATTAAATAAAAATAATAATATAAGTTGATTAAATAAATTAAAAATAACCATTAATATATGAAATAACAAATACATATTTATGAACTTTTTTTAAAATATTAGGCCTTTTAATCTAAATAAAATCTTATTTAAATAAATAAGAATAATACACAAAAGATCATATAAAATTTACCTAAGAATCAAATAAAACTTGTGTATTTAAAAAAATAAAAATAACGTTATCATTTCAATCAATTTTTTTATAATTGATTATGTGTCAATAATTGGTTTATTTTCAAATTCCTTTCCTATAATAAAAATAACTTTACCTTAAATTTAGAATTACTTCATTTATTATTTATCAACCAATTGTTATATAGTTAGAGGTTTATAATTAGATCTACATATATATTTGATTATAATTTTTTACAATTGTTTCATTCCATCATCTTTATTTTATTTTTTTAACAAAATACAATGCATCCTAAAAAGTAACCATCAATTTAGTATCAAAATATATATTAATTATTTAGGGCACATGGATATAATTAAACTATGTTAAATTAATAATTATATTAATTTTTTCAATTTGTTTTCGCGTTACAACTAAATCATCTTCTTACTATTTTCAAGTTTTTACCTGTAAAGAAGTTTATTTCTTTTTTCTCTTTTTCAAAGGATAGACATTGTAGCTTCACATTTAAAATATTTGGCACATTTTCTAAAGAAGGTGAGGAAATTAGATGTTCAACTTTTTGTTGGTTATCATTAACTTATCCTTTTCTTTTAAAGTTTTACATTTAAGATATTTCCTAATCTTTTTAAAAACGACATTTAATTAATAAATTAGTAACAATTTTAATAAATAATATTATAGAAAATCATATTATACAAGTACTTTCCTCAACCTCAAGATTATTGAAATTTAAGACATTCATTTTTTTTTAGAATTTTATTTTAATAGGCTTATTATCTATAAAATAAAGAGCTAATATAAAAAAAACAAATGTTAAACTATATATATATATATATATATATATATATATATATATATATATATATATATATATATATATATATATATATAAACTTAAGACAAATTATAAAGACTAACTTAATTTTAAATAAAACAAAGCACGTAAAAAAAAATGTCTATATTTTTTTTATTATACTTTCGTCTTCTCTCATATATTCATCCTATTTTATATTGTTAGGTCTATAGTATTCATCATTTTTTTGGATGAAAAATGATGTTATAATAACCTATCTTGATATGAATGAATCATATGCGTGTATTTTATTATTAAGATAAAAAGAAATGTTAGGTGACACCTATTTCGATTAAAAATATAATAATATTATATTATATAAGTAAGGTACAAATCTTATCTTAAAAATAGGTACTCTTAGTTTCTAATGTGATATTAGAGTCAAATATAAAAATAATGTTTGTTAACTTTTGTTGAATCGAATCATTCATCGATTAATATTATAGTATATAAGTAAAGTAAATTTATAAAATCTAGAGAATAATAAAATAAATGAAACAAATCAAAGTTTTATAAATTACTAGAAGATGTAAAACAAGAAATATATCTTAGTTGCAATTTTTATTTCAATTATCATTTATTGGTCAATTATTAAATATCAAATGTCTCTTTAGTTTGAACATAAAATAAATTAATATCTTACTTTATTAATAAAAATATTTTCAGAAAAAATAAATAAATAAATATAAAATAGAGTTAATAGTTAAAAATAAATAAATTAATATAAGAGATAATCAATAATAATAATAATAAAATTAATAATAATAATGATAATAAAAAGAATAATAATAATAATAATAATAATAATAATAATACCCTAAAACTTATTATATTTTATTTCCATTTCTTCTCTTTCTCTCATATTATTTTTTTTTCTTTCTCTTCTTCTCTCTTTTTCACCCTCTTTACTACCTATGTATATCCATAAATTTGATGAAATTTTTATTCCCTATTTTCAGATAAAATATTAAATATAATTCTTATTACCTAACGATATTATGTGGTAGTTTACATGACTAATGCGAAAATAAGTAATGATGTTGAGAAAGTTGTGCTGGAGTTTCATACGCCTTCATCTACAAAGTCATGTGTCCAATTTTTCATCAATATTTTTTCCCACAAAACATTCCATTTAGCGCCGATTAGGGATTATGAAGTGAAAGTGTGAAGTGTCATAATGGTTTACGGTTAAATGTCATATTTGTTTCCATTTAAATCATCTCAAACCTTAGTTTCTCATTTCAAATTTCAACTCACTTATGTTTCCATTTTCAACTAAATATAAATATATTAGTAATAATTTCAAAAATAACAAATATGGCATTATCCTGATCACTGTCTCTACCTTTAACTTTTGCGAGAATGGTCAACATTACTCTTATCGATATTAATTATCGGAATTGGATCTACACTTTAATGAACAATGATATCTTCATCTTTTTTTAACAACGATATTAATACGAAGTTTTAGCATTGTCTGTTACCCTTACAGCACTACATATAAGGATGTGAACGCCTGAATGGAAAGAAAGAATAAAATGATTTATAAAATGTTATCATTTTTTTTAAAAGAAAGATTGGTAACATGATATCTTAATATTTTAGGTTATAAAAGATATCATATTTTTTTATATGATTTAATTAATTTATATATCATTATTTAAAATTTAATTCCTTAGCAAATATCTAATAATCACTATTAAAAATATAAAAATTACCGATAGTTAAAATCAGTTGATAATAACAAAAATTTGTCGATAAATAAATATTATCGACTGAAATTTTGACGGTCAAAAATCTGTCGAAATTGGATTATCGGTAAATATTACGTATTTAAATAGTTTGTCAAGTAAATAATTTACGAAATTACCGACAGATAGGAATCCGTTGGTAAATATTTTTACTTATTTTATAGCCTATTTTTTAGAGATCCCTCCCCTTTACATTTTTAATATTTATTATTATTTATTTCTCCCGTTATATTTTTATAACTTTGAATTATTATCCGATTAAGAGAATTGTCATTGACAAAAGTTAGAGGTCGATACTCCAACCACTAAGTTGCTAGAATTTTTTGATAATAATTTACAAATAAATTATATTAATATACAAATATATTTACATATTTATATATTTATATGTTTATATATAATTAAATATTTATTTTTTAAATTATTTAATTTAATAAATTATTATAAATTAATCTAATTATGATTAAATTAAATTATTAAATAAAAAAATATTTAATTTTTTAATTAGGTGAATAATTAATTTATTAGAATATATTAAGTAATTATTATATAATTTTACCGATAGATATATCTCGTCGATAATTAATTGTTAATTTATCGACGGAAATATTCGTCGGTAAATAATTGTTAATTTACCAACGAATATATTTGTCTGTAATTAATTATTAATTTACCGACAGATTTATTGACGTATATGTCCGTCGTGTAATTAATTGTTAATTTACCGATGGATATATCCATGGATAACTAATTGTTATTTTACCGATCGGATATATCCGTTGGTAAGACCAAATTCTATATTCGTCGGTAATTTTCGTTGGTAATGACTCATTTTCCGATCGCCATAAATCCGTTGGTAAAAATTTATCGAAAATATGCGATTTTTTTGTAGTAAATGTTATCAATTTGTAGTATGCCTGATTCGATCGAATATGCTTAAAATATATGACAAATTCGAGATTATAGATCACTATGTCAAAAATTTTCTAATAAATATTTCAAGTAAACAACTCTTAAGCTAAACAACTATGTAAATAAAATTACTACTAAATATTTGTAGTTAATAAATATTTTTCTCAAAAAAGAGATAAAAGAAAGTGAAAAAAAAGTACACTTGAAAAAAAAAATAGTGGAAGTTGAAATAAAAATATTGAATAATTTATTAGAAAAAAAACCCATAAAATTTTGAATAAAAAGTAATATTATATTCGTTACCGTTAAAAAGCTCCCTAGTCTATCTCATATAATTTTGTTTACCATGTAGATAATCAATTAAGTAATAACAACCATATTCAATCTTTATTTGAAAATAAGGTTGGTATGTATCCAAATTTTAAAATGATGACGAAAAATACAATCTTGATGAAAAATATATTTAACCCTTATTATATTCAATTCAAGCATCTTTTACTAAGTCACGATTATATTATCTTAAAAAGACAATAATGTTGGGAATATTACTTTATTATCTTTTATTTAAATTAGGTATTAAAATATTTTATTATCTTTTAAGAGAGAAAGTAAGAAGACATTACTTTATTATTTTGATTTAGACAGTTATGATTGAAATATTATTAATATTTGATATTTTGTAATATTTTTACTCTATATATACATAGAGTACATGAATAGAAATATATCCACATGATATATCAGAAATACATATACACAAAACCCTAAAAATTCCCAATAAATTGGTATCAGAACTTTAATTCGACACAATGGAAGGAGAAAGAAATTTTTCACAAGTTGTTATTCCAATTTTTGATAGCGAAAGTTATGACTTATGGGCTGTGAGAATGCAATCCTATCTTGAAGGATTGGATGTATGGGAAGCTGTATAAGAAGATTATATTGTTGATCCACTACCTGAAAATTCCACCATAGCTGAAATGAAATTTCACAGAGAAAGAAAAATGAGGAAGGCAAAAGCTACATCATGTCTGTTTGCTGGTATTTCACAAATGATCCTCACCAGAATCATGATGCTAAAGTCACCAAAATAAATTTGGGATTATTTGAAAGATCAATATGAAGGGGATGAGAAAATTCGAGGTATGAAAGTTCTAAACTTGATAAGAGAATTTGAGATACAAAAGATGCAAGAGTCTCAAACAATTAATGAATACTCAAACAAATTGTTGGGTATTGCTAACAAAATAAAATTGTTAGACAAGGAATTTTCTAATTCCAGACTAGTCTAGTAACTGTGCCAGAGAGATATGAAGATATGAAACATCTATTGCTTCATTGGAAAGCACAAAAGATTTATCTAAAATTACTTTGGCAGAAGTGCTACATACTTTACAAGTACAAGAACAACGAAGATTGATGAGAGGAGATCATGCTGCTAGTGAATGTTCTTTACTATATCATGATGGAGGTTCTATCCAAGCTAAGAACAACAAAGGTACAAAATCACGAGTCTTTTCTGTTTGTCCTTATTGCAAGAAAAATAATCACACACCCAACAAGTGTTGGTGGAGACCTGATGTGAAATGTCATAAATGTGGTCAATTAGGACCTATAGAAAAGATATGCAAATCACAACCAAAGGAATTCGTTCAAGTTATAGAAGATAGAGTAGAAAAGGTACTTCTCCTTGCATCAACATGCTCTACAATCAATAAATCCACAGGTTGACTTATAAACAGTGGTTGTACAAATCATATGACTCATGATTAAAAACTTTTCAAAGAGCTCAACGAATCACATATTTCTAAAATGAGAATTGGTAATGGAGAAGAAATGGTTGTGAAAGGTATGAGAACAATTGCAATTAAAAGTTATTCGGGTATCAAATTGATTTTTGATGTTTTATATGTTCCTGATATAAATCATAATTTGTTAAGTGTTGCTCAATTATTGGAGAAAAGTTATAAGGTGTCTTTTGATCACAAACTTTGTGTGATTAAAGATACAAATAACTTGGAAATATTCAAAGTTCACATGAAAGAAAAAAATTTCACTTTAGATTTGATGAAAGAAGAGATAATTACAAACAAAGATATAAAAGAAAAGTTAAAGAAAAAACATGAAAAAAATTTCTTGAAGGAACTTGATGTTAAGGAGGAAAATAAAAATGTAGATGAAGAAACCGTTTTCAACGTCCATCAAAGAGTCAATAGTACTACCATGAATTGAAAGAAAAAAAGGAGATGAAGTTGATAAAGGAAGAGATATGTTGATGAAGAAAGTGAAATTGAATGAAGATGTAATCTTATACAAGAAAGAAGATGACATAAGAAGTATAAACAAAAAAGGAGGAAAAATTATAAGCAAAATAAAAGAAAAAGAAAAATTATCAAATTCAAATAAATAGATATTAAAGTATGGAGGAATGTTAGGAATATTACTTTATTATCTTTTATTTAAATTAGATATTAAAATATTTTATTATCTTTTAAGAGAGAAGGTAAGAAGACATTACGTTATTATTTTGATTTAGACAATTATGATTAAGATATTATTGATATTTGATATTTTGTAATATTTTTACTTTATATATATATATATAAAAGTACATGAATATAAATATACTTACATAATAATATATCCGAAATACATATACACGAAACCTGCAAATTCCCGATAAACAAAACTCACACTGAGTTATTATTATTTTATGTGATTCATGTGACTTAACCAGGGCAAGATTGATTCACATGTCCAAATCACAGTATGAGTCCAGAGCATGCCAGAGTCAATCAGCTGCTAAAGGCTTCACCTTCTCTCGCAGAAACTGCAGTATATGCTCACGTTTCCAATCTCATCCTGCAACACACAAGGGCCAAAAAGAAGATAAATAACTTTCATTTTTTAAAACTCAGTTATTTAATTTAACTACTAGAAGGGTGAATGATACCGTGAACCAGCTTTGTCTGTGGTCTACGATGCATAATATTTTTACAACTAGATTAATCTAAACTCCGCATACATACCCTGCACCCTCAACATTAGATTCGGCCTCTTCTCCTTCTACCATCAGTCACATTAGAGAAGATCAGCATGTTGCTGGTAGTCTTTAGTGTAAGCAGTAAGTGTCGTATTTCAATTTAAAATTGAGATGTACAAGTCGCACCAGTAGATTTAGGACTCTTTTTAATATCATCAGCTTCGACTAAAAGATGTCTACAGGATTAAAAAGATTCTTATGTCATGTTGGATTTCACCTTAGAACCTATTGCTGATAAGTAGAAATCTGGTAATAAAACTTTCTTAGTCTTACCTATATTAAATAATTAAAAGGTTTGTAGGAGAGAATTTCAGTTATCGGGCTCAGATGCAATTTATTCATTTGTTGATGTACAATAATAATTGTACAGTTAATTTTAAGTTAGAGATCTCTCTGTAAAACTAAAGCAAAGTCATTTGGTTTAGTGGGGTTGCGGAAGCACATAGACAGGCGATGGCGCTTGTTGAGGGCTTTGCAAAGGTCTCTAGATGCCCTTTTAATCAAAACAGGAGACAATGAATACCAATTGTTGATTTTTGCTTCCTTCTGTCATTCTTCATGTTTCTCTTTCAATTCACTGCCTTTACGGGGATAAGCTCCCTCCACCCACAATCTAATTTTGTCCCCCATTTCAACAACAACAATTAAAGATGAGAAAAGTTGCAAACTTTACTAGTTTCACACATGATGAGTTGAGTACAAAGTACACAACCCAGGAATTTTGACTTAGTTTAGGATGGGGGTGGAGGGGGCAGATAAGGAAAGGGTATGAGTTGAAAAGGCGAAGGAAGTTAACCAGACCACAAAAGCTATCAACATTAAACTATAATCATAATCATTATATTCTCCTTTGGGATTTCATCATATGTAAACAAAAGTGACAGTCTAACGAGGTTTTTCTTGTCTGGTGATAGAACATGATGTTGCCACTCTCACATGGCTGTGTTCGGGGGAAACGTGCTGTTACAAAATACAAGGGGATCTGAAGGTTATCTCTCGAACTTGACCGTCATATTTTCAGCTGTATGGCACTGGCCATTTGCAAATAACTTAGATGTTGGAAAGCTGCCTTAATTGCAGTTACCCGTAATCTGTCTAGTTGTGACCTCTCTGAGGGTTTCATTAAGCATAGTGGTTTAATCCTACATTGACTAAGCTTGGACAAATATCACCAAGTTAGTTTTGTGAAGTTGAATTTAATCTTTTAAGTCCAAATTCTAAGATGATACTAGTCTATCCTAAATCTATTGTGTCAATTACATTGTCATACTCCAGACCAATAGACCCATGCATGAGAGGATGCTGGAAAGCCGCCTTAAATTTCAGTCACTCCCTATCCACAAATGTTTTGGAAACGCTACCTATGAAGGGATTGACTAGAAAAGTTGAAAGAGTGGTTGTAGTGTGGAGCCACAAAGAGATGAGCTTTTAGTGGGTTGAGATCTTAAATCAATTAGGGATATGGCCAATGATGACCTTATAAGGCTCAGACAGTCCTTTAAAAAGAGATATTTGCCACTAAAATTTTAATCATCATTTAACAAGTTAGAGAACTCAGGTATGCCGGGAATAACTTCCTGTCGAAGGATCACTAATAATTAAGCTGATAGCTAAGCTAGCAAAAATAAAAAGAAGAAAACAATGCATACTTTGTTTATACCAACTAAAGCCTCTCCTTAGATAATAGGTTAAAGTTTTCCGGTTCTTGGCATGCTTTCTTCAGGAACCTTATCCACTATTTTGCTTCCTATGACAGAACTGCTACGTGCACATAGCTCTGGCACTGCATTTTCCTGTATGATGATTGATGAGAAAACTAAAACGCTTGAAATTCTTCTCAATGAATCCAAAATTTTCAGAGTAAAAAATTATTAAAAAAATTAAAAAGGAAAAGAAAAATGAATCAGATCAAAAGCAGGATCTTAAGAGATATTGTGTGCTGCATGTAATTATGTAAATTAGGATGACTGTTATACGTTGTATTTGTAAGTTTATGATTCATTATAAACAAGGGCCTTTGCTGTGCACATCAGGAACAAGTAATTCATGTAATATCTCATTCTCTCTCTCTCTTTCTTAACACAAATCAGTTTCTTCAGAACCTTGCCCAAAGTACATCATGGCAAAAAGTTCTGACTCCCCTAATGTGATAGGTGGCAATTTAGAGGGTAAAATACGTACAGCAGTTGGTAGAAAAACGGCACAGTATAGAATGTCATAAAATATGTATAAATTATTAAGTTCTTAAAATCTATTACATGGATTTTTCAATCATAGTTATAACTTTTTACTTTATTCTTGATAAACACCGGACACTTGGGGAACCTATCTTTAAAACTAGCAACTAAACCAAACAAGTAAATACGTATCTGAGTTTCCCATACTACTCCATAGGAGACATGGATACTTCATAATAAGTCTCAGTAAATCTTCTAAAGGGTACCCAAAACATTGGAGGAGTCGATTTCCCCCATTTGAATAGATTTTATTAAAAGAAAAAAAAAATGCAAACCTATACAATTGATACTGCAATATAGACAATGAAAATCATATTGATTAAGCAAGAACTGTAACCTTCTCAGTTTTCAATATTTCTTTGAAATTCTTTTCTGCGCGTTCTAGATTTTTGAACACATGATTCCTGTTCAAAAATGATGCAAACATATATGTGACCTTACCTGAAACGAAAAAAAATACAGATCTAATCAAATTATCAAGAAGGCCATTATCATCTGTGGAAATATGTAGAGCTCACTTTTATTCACTAAATAAAAACATGCACTCTTATTTTTGTCAAAGAAATATTACCAACCTTCAGAATAACATTAAGACAAGCACTTACATATTTTGTTAAAAATTACACCCATCAATAAAGTATGATAAACAGTGTCTGCGAAAGCATGAAATTGAGTCAACAATGAAAGAAAACACCCGTACTCCAAATGTCACCGTGATACGTATAGAAAACATGTAGAACCACAGTTACACACATAAACAGGGGAAGCAAGTTGATGCTAATTTGATTGAATCTTTATATGAAAAAATCAGGACCAGTATTAAATTGAATCATAAAGTGTAATTAAATTTCCTCGAAGACAATAAATAAGAAAGTGTGTGAAACTAATTACTAACCATCATCATGACTTTTTAAAGGAGGGACACCACGTCCACCAGCACCCAGGCGAAGAATAATTTTTATCGCAGGATTCATCCATGCATGTTGACTCGTTTGAATCTTAAGAAAAAGGAGAATAGTTGCACCACATGTAAATTTTAATTTGACTGAAATATTTAGGGCAGAGGAGGAGAAAAAGCAATAGAGATTGTACCTCATCTATATCTTCAAAAGGAATAACCACCTGTTAAATATCCCAAAAAAAAGTTATATGACAAAAGAAGAAGACAGTTTAAAACTAACAGATTATCAGTGTTCATATGTAAAAGTTTCGGTAAATGAAGTTCCAGGCAAAACAAAATCCTATGACTAATAGTATAATTGTTTTGCAAGACCAGAAACGTCATATGAAAGCTAAATTACTCCAACTCTAAGAATATCTCTCAATCATTATCAGAAAATATTAAAATTAAAACAGCTAACATGAGTGATAGATCAACAACCTCTTACAAGAAACAATGCACGCTGTACACTTTGTTTGATTGCGTAAAAGATGGGTTAGAAAATAAAGAAAAGGAAAAGAATCGAGAAAAAAAAAAATAAAGAGCTTTGGTTGTGTAGAAATGTGATGACGTTTGGGTGGGCCCTATGATGACAGTTTTTCTAATGCATTTGATCAGAAATATGAAAAAAGATGAGCTGGTAATTAAATTATTAGTAAGATGCCCCTTTTAAGCAAAAATTGATTTTAGTTTACACTGTGCATCCCTGAGTAGCCTCCAATTCGTAGCAAAATCGATTTTATTTCTGAAAAATATTAGTTGAGAATCGGTTACGTAATAGATAATTTTTGAATAAGATATTAAAAGAAAAAAAATTGTGAGTATAAATGTTTTTATTATTATTATTATTATATTAATTATTATATATCACTTCTCTGTGACAAAGAACCTCCATTTCACAAATATCTCACTGTGACTTTCTTCAATCTTTTTCCTACAGTAAAACAAAACCTACTTTTCACTACACAACTTTGACAGAACAGAAGCATAGGCTGACCTTCATTTGCTTAAAGAACACGTTGGAATAGAAACAAATGCAACTGGCTGAGACATACATATGACCATGGTACAAGAATGACGTCTCAAGTGCACAAGTATAACTGTGATCAACACCCTGAAAAGTATGCTTCACGTGTCAGATTTGAAACGCAATCATACAAAAGGACAGAGTACACATTCATCTTTTATTTTTGTATATTAGAACATAAGAAAACCACCACATTGGGAATCATTAACAAGAAACAAACAAGTTAAAATTTTGTCAGTAACCTCGTCTGGATGAAGACCAAATATAGTTTGAAGAGGCCCTGGCTTTTGATGGACAACTGTGAGGCCCTGTGTTTCCAAGGGTGGCATGCTTCTTTGAGGATTATCTCCTCTATAACCACTTATCCTATCAGTCCAGTCAAAATTTGACTATAAGAAATAGACCAATATATGATGATAATAACACCACTCAAACATCTTGGACCAACCTATTACACATATTTTTTAAAACAAAATATAAAACTAAAAGGCTCACCTGGAAGTTCCAGAAATTTGTGTTTTTATTCGAAGGGAAACCTGACATTGAGTTACATATTAGTAATGGTATTTTGTAGACATAAAAAGTATTAGAACTAAAAGACAAACAAAAACTTAGAAACCAAACAAAATTTCTTCTGACAGCTGGTACTACCTGCCCTGATGGGCTTTCTAAAGTATGCCATTTTGCACCAGTTTGACCTTCACTTTCAACTAGAACAGTAACTGACCCAAGAGGGATACTTTTGGTCATGATATTCCAATCATAAATTGCGACATTGATCTGCTAGTCAGCAGAGAATGAAATCGGTTAAACGAAAACCTTCATAACAAATTTAATCTGTCAATTCAGAAGCTTTTCCTGACATATGTTCTCAATATAATGTTTCATCACCATAATTAGCTTAAAAAATTTACATTTGCATAAATATATTAAGGATTGATTATTCATTTGGTTCTTTTAGTTACAAAAACCTTTTTTAATCCGTACACATTCTATTTCTAAACCCTTTTTAAGTACAGGAACTTGGAGAAACTTTTTATAACTATAGAAAAGAAATGAGTAATTAAACTGAATCCTATAATGAAAAGATTATCAGTTACAGGCAACAGCAACAAAGCCTTGCCTCACTAAGCGGCATTGGCTACATCGATCAATAGACACCATTATGTGAAATCGTAAATCATGTCTAATAAACTTTTTAAAAGTTTTTCTTGGTCTTCCCCTGTTTCCTAGCGCAGTCATGAAAAAAAATCTTGGCGCTTAATGGTAAAAATAGCTTAAATATGTCAATCTGCTAAGATAAGAATTGAACCTAACATTGGTATAATTAGTCCAAATCAAAAACATAGATGATAATAAGCTACCTGGGCAGGAAATTCATGGACAGAAAAATTGAAGTTTTCTCCCCACATTGGATTTCTTGTGCCAGGATTCAAGGAACTGCAACAGCACACCAGAATATCAACTTTTGAGGAGGGCCCAATGAACAATGTTGATCAAAAGTCTTGTGTCTAAGTAGACACATTAGAAAATATAGCTAAAAACAAAAATGAAAATTGGAAACTATCTCTGCAGTTTGTACAGAAAAGAAAAATCCTAATACAAAGGTCTTTCTAATAGCTTCCATTTTTTCACATCTAAAATATGGATCCGAGGCTTCAAAAGTGAAACCAAATACGTACTCAAATAAAGATTGAAACACATTCTAAGCAAAAACCTGTCATCTACATTCACAACTACACACAAATAGTTTATGATTTTTCTAAGGCCAAAAACATTACTAGACAGAGTTCCTTAAGAGACAGGGGTAGCTCATAGATGTGGAGAAGGGGGGCTCTGGCTCCAGTCGGAAAGAATCCCTCCCCTCAAAAACATAATTCTTCAAAATATAAAAGAATATGTATTCGTTTATCCCCCAAGACACTAGGAAATTTATGCTCTGGCTCCACCATTTCTTGAAGAGAGAAGTTCAAATAAAGGAGGGGGGAAAAACTTGATAAACAAACCTGAATCGGTTTTCATTGCCACATGTGATGACAGCATAAGGGTCCGGTATGTTTTTTAAGGTTGAACCGACGAGATCATTAGCAGCGAATAGTTCTACCTAAAAAGAGAAGTTAAAAACAAATGCAAATACAAATATCGTCAATAACTTCCAGTATATTTATACTCACACACAGAAGCAAATCTTGGTGCAAGCATGAAAAAGTTATTAGGTAGTGTCAGATTACTCAGAATTCATGAATCCAACTCATCTCTGTGACTTTTATTAAAAAAATTCGATTAAGTTGATTGAGACTATAATGATCAAGAATCATCTAATAACCTTTCCTCTGAAGGAAAATTGACTAAGCGTTGCCAGAAAAAACAAATTACCATAATCTGGTACCCCAAACTGGGTTTAGAATCCACTATATGCTTCCCCATCAACAAAGCGAGGTTCAGAACTGCTTGTGAACACACAAGTTAAAAATTACTCCATGAACCAACGTGAAAATCTCGATGCACCAAGTTATAAACCCATGGGGTATTTTCGTTCTTCACAAAAACCACAATCGCAACCGAACTAATGATCACAATTTCCTACAATTCCCCACACCATCCATATGTATTGACAAGAACGTGTTTGGAAAACACATAAGAAGCTAAAACCATTGACTCGTTGAGATCACATTTGGAAATGAAAAAACACATTGAAGATGTGAAAGGAAATATGGCAATAGGTAGAGAATTATTCATCATGCAGATTTCATTTTCAATTCCAGCAACCAACAAATTATAGAATTTGAAAACATAAAAGGAGAAAGATTAAGAATGAAACCCTGAATGGAATGAGGAATTTGGCTTTTGAAAAAAAAAATGAAACAAGTGAGTTCAGAATGAAGAGCAGAGACTGAGGTTGACGAATGAAAATTCTGAACCTTCAACTACATCACGCGAAAAGGAAAATCTTGTCCTCCAAGATTCAACGTGCCTATCATATTAGTTTTGACGCTTTCTTTAAAAGATATTTCTCTCTGTTCACATTTTACCACTACTTATTTATTTCTTATAAACAATAAAATGTATGTAATTGATATGAAAAACAAGTGGTATATTACAAAATAACACGATGTTTTTTATAAATGTAAAACATTATTTTTGTTTCTTAATTTATGTTTCAAGTCAAGACTTTAATGTGGAACCAACGCCTAAAGGTTCTTCCATTCACTTTGAGGTTCTAGAAACATACAAATACTAAATAAAGCTAGGTCAAGACGTAGATAAATTATAAATAATAATAATAATAATAATAATAATAATAATAATTATAAAAGAGAAGAAAACGAAAAATTGTGCATTTTGAATGAATGTAATCCATTTCTTATTCCAGATTCCATTTCAACATAGAAATTAAAATTTAATTTAACTTTGAGTCGTAATTTATTACACTGTCATCGTAATCATTAAATTTAAAACTGTCAAATTTATAGTTAATCTAACTTTCAACACAAACTTCTATAAAAAGGACCCAATGAAAGTGAGATTTTTATCGAATTTAATACTTGGTATCATTTGACATAAATTTTAAGTCTGCTTTTGATTACGTTACCAAGTGTTTTTTCAAAGTAAAATAAAAAACTTGCATTGAAATTTGCCATCTACCGGTCTTATAAGTAAAGTGGGGTTGCTTTTAAAGTCGTTATTGCGTGAATCAATCAAATGTTAATTGAAATATTTGAAAGCATTATGAAAGATCCTCTGCATCAGCATCAAATTATAACAACGAATGAACTGCGTCATAATATTAATAACTTACATTATAATATTAATATATTTAAGTAAATTAAAATAAAATCAATATAAATTTAATTTTATTATAAATAAAAATATAAAACAACTACGTTTATATTTTAATATTAATTCATATATAATAAATATAATAATTTTTTTTAATATAATGAATTATTCATATTTATATAATCATTATATTGATATAATCAATTATTTATAATCATATAATCAGTTACATTCTTCAAATTTTCATGGTAAGAGTGTTTTTTTTCCAAAGTCATACTAAATATTATAATTTATTAAAATCAAAACATATTTAGTGAATACATGATAGTATACATATATAAAATAATTAACATACTTTCATATTAAAAATAAAATAAAATATAAATAAATACAAATAACTAAAAATAATAAAAAAAATGAAAAGTGAGAATTATATTTAATAAAAAAAAATAGAAAAAAATTAATGTGTAAAATTACAATTTATGAATGAAAAATTGTCTATACAAATAACATAATATACATGTCCAAAGATAATATGGAAAATAATTTTCTACAAAGATTAATTATTAATAAATTTGATAAATATTTTTTCTTAATAATATAATTGTAAGAAAATAATAATATTTTGCTAGATTTGACTAAAAAAAATGAAACTTTGTATAAGTCTCCCATAAAAATATCAAGTTTAGCATTTATTTATTTTTATTTTATATTTGTGAATATTTTAAAACATAATAATAATAATAATAATAAATCATGATTCTAAAAATTATTTTGTACCGAGTATTTTTTTTTTAAACAATAATTTTTAATAATGATATATTTAATTTATTCTAATAATATTAAAAAGATGAAAAAAAAATAGTAAAATGAATTATATCATAATATACTACTATCCTTAGATTGATTATCATAATTAGTATACCTTTAGGGAAAAGAAAATTAAAAACATAGTAAACAGAAAAATAAAATGGTGAAATGAAGATAATAACACTCTAACAAATGATTAAATAATTGATTAATGATTATGAATATTAATTATATATAATTATAACTACTATCTCTCCACAATTTTATAGTGCAGAAAGAGGTATACAACACAATATCGGTTCTTCATTCTTCCACAACTCTTAGTTATTTAGTATATGAAATGAAAATGTTAATCTTAACAATATTATTTTAGCAAAATTAAAATACTAACATTTTTTATGACAATAAAAAAAATTATGATCCACTCCTATCTTTTAATTCTCAACTCATTTTAATATATGTAAAATTCTCATCATCTAAAAATCAATATTAGAAATAATTTATGAGCAGATTAATTTTTTTTATAAATAAATAATATATGACTTGCCCTTAAACTATTTTAATCAGATTAGAGGTGAGAGCAACTTATAGATTATACCGACGAATGAAAATGCTTCAACCTAGTTTAATGTTATTCAGTTGCTGAATGTTTCATTAGGTGACACGTCTTCACTTCCGTTGATCTCTAAAATTTGATGGCCCTACATAAATTGTTCTTTGGAAGGAAATTCCCAGATCCACAAGCAATCTATAGTATATACAATTCCAGGAACACAAAAAGTAATTTCTTACAAAAAAAATTCAAAACGAAAATAATTGGAGCAAAAGACAAAAATTAAAGTCTTAGGCCACACAGTATCTCAGCCCAACTAAACACTCGCCCACTCATTCTACACTTTCTCATATTCCAACACTCTCATTCATAGCCAAACTCATTATTTTTTTCTTGTACGTAAAATAAGTGTCCCAACAGAAACACTAAATGTCTTCTGTTGCATGGCTTCATGTAGCATTTTTTATTTGCTGAAAAACTGTGGATGCATGTATTTGTAGGGACTGAGGTAGGTGATGCTCTTTTGCATTTTTTCATTCGAAGGTGCCAATTTCAATTTTTTTTCGTTTAACGAAAATATCAAAATATTTTTCTGCAAAAAAGTTAGCTTCTTTTACAGATTTATACTTGTTTCAGTGTAATATTATGTTCTCTTTTTTATCCATGTATTTCAAACTAAGTTTTTTTCATTCAAAAATTTATTGATTTCATTTTATTTTTTTTTCACATTTACCTTCCATATTGGAATCAAAGTCAAGTTTAAAATTTTTTTTCTTAAAAAAGTTACCTTTTTTTTTCACCACGTTTAGTTCAATGTCTGTCTTTTACCAGCTTTCCGTTGGTTATCTCACAGTTTTATATATGATTTAATGTAGTATAGTATGTTCTTCTTACTGATTTGTTTTGATTTATGATTTTTTGGTTACCAATTTTGAATTTTTATTGTCTTTACCTTTGAAATTGTAATAAAAACGAAGTTCAATTTTTTTTTACGATAAAAAAGTTACCTTCTCTGATAACAATTAGGGTTAAATGTTGTTCTCTGTCAATTATAAAATCTGTTTTACTTTGCTTCTTTTATACTTTTATACTTTTAGGCAAGTTTTGCCTCTACCTTCTTGTTCTTCACTGATTGCAAAGAAATTCCTAAAAAAATAATTTTCACTACAAATCTTTTTTTTTTTTCTTTTCCTGTGATCCTATTTCCACATGAATTGTCTACATTCCACACAATTTTCATTTTCTCTTAAATTGTATTGTCTTCGTCTTCTCTTTTTTTTTCGTAATTATTAACATTATATCTTAAATATATTACCACACTTTCATTGTCCTGTTAATTCATATAGATACTTAATTCAATTTAGATCATCAAATTTATGTCATGTTACATCTACAAAAGGAAAATATAGTTTATTACACTAGTGCAAAAATGAGTTTTTACGTCAGGTATTTAGGATTTTTTATGTCGTATTTAAGTCCGACGTTAAAGCGGGAGACGTAAATTTACGTCGCATATGGTATACGCGACGTAAATTTACTGTTTTTTTTTTTAAATTAGGTTTATTTATTCTGTTTTACAACTAAAACCTGCAAATATTACAACCAGACAGTCCAGAGGTTCAGTTTTCTTTAGCTAGTAAATTAAAAATATAATATTATATAATTCAAACTACATAATAAAACAATATAATACAAACATACAAACTAAAAAATCTATTACAAACTAAGCTACCTATACAAACTAAACTAAACTACATAATACACACAATATAATATGAACAAGAACTTAAAAAATAATGTACTAGAATTGTTGAACAAAAAATTTTGCCCATTGTTCTCTAATTTACGTAATCTCAAATTCGGTAATGGAGATGGATCTTGAAATACACGAAACATGAATTTGACTCTTGTAAGCATGCAACATGAATAAAGTTAAATAAACTTAACTAATGTTAAAAGTAATTACCTCAGTCCAAGAATCAATTAAACCCGCACAAACTATGGCTCTCATCCAATACATTACATAGTAACCACATTCAAGCGAGTCAGTTTGCTTATTACACTTGAAATGATGAAAAAAACATAATATTATTTTCAAAATTGAAATACAAACAATAATTATGGTATTCACTTATATAAATAAGTTTCTAACCTTAGGATAAATGAGCTGCAAAGTCTTTGTTCTAGGTTTTCCACTTAGAACATTAGTTCGAGACACGATTCTAAGTGAAAAAAGTCATATATTATTCAATATGTATTCACAATTTAAAAACATAATTAATGA